GCTGCTGCCTCACAGCATCAGGGACCCAGGTTTGATTCCACCCTCAGGTGACATTCTGTGTCGAGTTTGCACATTCTCCCGATGTCTGCATGGGTTTTCTCCAGGTGCTCTGGTTTCTTCCCATAGTCCAAAGGTGTGCAAGTTAGGTGGCTTAGAATTAGGGGCTACAGTGAGAGGTGTTTGTCTGGGTGGGATGCTCTTTAGAGAGTCAATATGGATCCATTGGGCCAAATGGCCTGCTTCCACACTCTAGGGATTCTATGATTCAATGAGATCATAGCTGATTTGATAATCCTTAACTTCACTTTCCTGCATTTTCTTCACAACCTTTGATTCCCTTATTCATTCAAAATCTGTCTACCTTATCCTTGAATATACTTAACTACCCAGCCTCTACACTCCTCTGTGTTAAAGAATTCCATCAATCATCACAGGTAGACAGGGTGGTTAAGAAGGCATTTAGCATGCTTGCCTTCATTGCTCAGACCTTTGAGTATAGGAGTTGGGATGTCATATTAAGGTTGTACAGGACATTAGTGATGCTTCTTCTGGATTACTGTGTGCAGTTCTGGTCGCTCTGTTATAGGAAGGATATTATTAAGCTGGAGAGGTTTCAGAAAAGACTTACCAGGATGTTGCTAGGAATGGAGAGTTTGAGTTATAAAAAGAGAGGCTGGATTGGCTGGGACTTTTTCACTGGAGTGTAGGAGGCTAAGAGGTGACCTTATTGAGGTTTATAAAATGATGAGGGGCACAGATAAGGTGAAAGACATGGCTCCTTTCCCTAGGGCGGAGGAATTCAAAATGAGGGGGCATATTTTCAAGGTGAGAGGAGAAAGATTTAATAACTTTTTTGCTCAGGGAGTGGTTCAAGTATGGAATGAACTGCCAGAGAATGCAGCTACAGTTACAACATTTAAAAAAACATTTGGATAAGTTCATGAATAAGAAAGATTTGGAGGCAACAGAAACAGAAATTGCTGGAAAAGCTCAGCATGCCTGGAAAAGCTCAGCAGGTCCACGGGACCCGAAACATTAATTCTGATTTCTCTCCACAGATCCTGCTAGACCTGGTGTGCTTTTCCGGCAATTTCAGTTTTTGTTTCTGATTTTCAGCATCCGCAGTTCTTTCAGTTTTTAAGGTTTGGAGGGATATGGGCCAAGGCAGGCAGGTGGGACTAGTTTAGTTTGGGAACATGGTCGGCATGGACTGGTTGGACTGCAGGGTCTTTCTCTATGCTGTGTGACTCTATGACTCTGAGAGAAGAACTTCCTCCTCATCTTTGTCTTAAACGGGTGAGCCCTTGTTCGGAGATTATGTCTAGGGATCTGCCACAACAGCAAACAACCTTTCCACATCTACCTTGTCAAGTCCCCAAAGACACTGGTGTGCTTCAATAAGGTTGTCTGTCATTGCTCCAACCATGTCATCGCCCTGCAAATCACTTCCAAATGGGTAAAATGAAAATACTGTGGAAAACTGAAAGAAAAATAAAAACAAAGATGTTGGAGAAACTCAGTCGGTCTGATAGCAACTATAGAGAGGGAAAAGCAGAGTTAATGTTTGAACTGTGACTCTCCAGCTCTTTGTTTTTATTTCAAACTAATGGTTGCTTTAACTTAGGGTTGGGGAGAAAATAACAGCCTGACCGGGGGCACCCACATCCCAACAATTAGATATTAAAAATACATATTCCTTTACTAAGGAGTGACAACTTCTCTGGCTATATGTTCAGAATTTGCTATACCCATGGATTTGTCGATGCTCCATTGTTGAATGTATTTGAGATAAAGATAGACAGACGTTCTCTCTGGGAATCAAGGGATATGAGAAATGGGTAGGAAAGTGGATTTGGAGCCCAAGAAATGCCTTGATCATAGCGAATGGCAGAGCAGACTTGAGAAGCCATAGGGTCCACACCTACCCTCATTTCTCGGGAAACGAATGCCCGAAATGCTGAAATGTAAATTACATGGCAACAATTGCAGTTGATAGATTTTTGCGAGGCGTGTGACAGATAGATGAAGTTACCATGATCTATTTGAGTGGTAGAACAAACAAAGAGGTAGAATCAAACACAGAGAATGCTGGAGAAACTCAGCAGGTCTGGCAGCATCTATGGAGAGAGAAAACATAGTCAGTGTTTCAAGTCTAATATAACTCTTCTTCAGAACTGGAGGAGGGTGAACAAAGCAAGGGAGAACAGAACAAACAGGGGCCTTTTGAGAGACGTGGAAGCAGTGCATGTCCACAGGCCTGCGAAGGTGGCAGGACAGGTTGGTAAGTTTATAAAAAGGCATATCCTTCACATATGCTTTGGATAAGGGTGTAAGAAGGCATATGGGAAGCTTTCCTTTACTGGGTGAGGTGTTAAATACAAAAACATAAATGTAATGCCAGAACTATATAGCAGATTATTTAGGCCACAGCTGGAGTTTCATGTACAGTCCTGGTTCAGGAAGGATATAATTGCTCTTGAAAAAAAGTACAAAAAAGAGAAGTGCAGGAATTTACAAGGTACAGACCAGGTGCTGGAAGGTGTGATTAGAATGGGTGGGTAGTTTATGTAGCTGGGCACACACAATGGGCTGAATAGCTTTTCCTGTGTTTTATTTCTTCTTTGGTTTCTGTGGTAACATACCTTTCCTGATGTGCATTTTCAGTATTTTTCACTACATTCAGCTTGCATTGTTTTTCTTAGCTTTTCAGACTTGCTGATGCTTCCCATTAAATCCGACATAATAGCATGCAGGAGCTTTCAGCTCGGAGAGCCGCATGATGTCTCAGTAGTTAGCACTGCTGCCTCACAGCACCAGGGACCTTGGCTCAATTCCAGCCTTGGGCACATTCTCCCCATGTCTGCGTGGGTTTTCGCCGGGTGCTCCGGTTTCCTCCCACAGTCCAAAGATGTACAGGTTAGGGTGGATTGGCCATACTAAATTCCCCAGTGTCCAGGGATGTGCAGATTGGGTGGATTAGCCATGGGAATTGCAGGGTTACAGGGATGGGGTGTGTGTGGGGTAGTCCAAACAAACAAGTCTCTTTCTGCACTGTGGGGATTCAATGCATTTGTATGGTCTTTTTCATGTCCAACATCTCAATGCACTTCACAACCAATCAATTACATTTCAAGGAGTTGGATAGAATACTTGGAGGTCAGAGGACATGTTGGCAAAGTGGGAAGAGCTGAATGATCACCTATGATCATAATGAATGGACTCAAAGAGCTGAATGGCCTATGCCTGCTCCTATTTCCTAATTATATATGTTTGTGGCGTACACATCTTCAGAACTGATTGTAGCTGGGAAAAGGTTGGTATATAAGATGAAGAGGGGGTGAGGGGAGGGGGAAGGAGCAAACAATAGGTGGAGATGGAGCCCAGTGAGAGAGAAAAATAGTTAGGCAGATAAAGGAATGGGAAATGGTCAGCCTGGGAGAATGAATGGCTGCTAATGGGGTCTATTAGTGGCTGACAGCAGGTTGTGTGCGATAGCAGCTCATGTGGTGACAAGGCCTGGTGTGTTGGGGTTGGGTTAAGGACATCGTTGAAGGTGTTCAGTCCCTAAAATTGTGAATTCGATACTGAATCCTGAAGGCTGCAGGCTCTCCAAGCAAAAGATGAGATGCTATTCTTCCAGCTTGTGCTGAGTTTCACTGGAGCGATGCAGCAATCGAGACAAGCGAAGGAACACGGTGTTAATGTTGAAATGGCAGGCAACTGGAAGCTCGGGGTCATTTTTGTGGACAGAATGTAGGTGTTCTGTGAAACGGTCACCCAGTCTGTATTTCATCTCCCCAACGTAGAGGAGACCACATTGTGGGCCACGAATGCAGTAGACTGCATTGAGTGAAGTGCAGGTAAAGAGCTGCTTCAACTGGAAGGTATGTTTGTGTCCATGAATGGTGAGGCGTGAGGATGTAAACAGATAAGTGTTACATATTCTGCAATTACTAGGGAAGATGATGTGAGGGTGTGGGAGTGGAGAAGGAGTGGTCCAGGGTATTCAGGAGAGAACAGTCTTGGCAGAAGGCTGACTAGGGAAAGGAGGAAATATGTGTTTAGTGGTGATTACCCAATGGAAATGCCAGAAAAGGCGGCTTATGATCCTTTGGATGTGGATGATGGTGAGATGGTAAGTGAGGATGAAGGGGACCTTATTGCTGTTGTGGGAGGGAAGAGAGGGGGTGAGGGCTGAAGTGCAGGAGATGCGTCGGACACAGCTGAGGGTATGGGGAATTCTTGGTTGAGGAGAAAGGCATTTCGAAGGCACCCTGGTAGAAGTTGGCATCAGTGGAACAGACATGACTGAGACAGAGAAACTGGGAAAATGGGGTGGAATCTGTACATGAAGAATGGTGTGAGGATGTGTAATGCAGATAACTGTGGGAGTTGGGGGTTTTTAATGGATATTAGTAGCCAGTTTTTTTCTCCACAAATGGAAGCAGAGGTGTCAAGGAAGGGAAGGGAGGAGTCAGAGATGGAATCACAGTCATAAAGTTGTACAGCACAGAAACAGACCCTTTGAATCTATCAGTCCATGCCGAACATAATCTCAAACTGAACTAGGCCCACCTGCCTGCTCCTAGCCCCATATCACTCCAAACGTTTCCTATTCATATACTTATCCAAATGTCTTTTATACTTTGTAATTGTACCCACATCCACCAGCTCCTCAGGACATTCATTCCACCTGTGCACCACACTCTGTAAAAAGTTGGCCCTATATGTCTTTTTTAAATCTCTCTCCTCGCACCTTAAAAATATGCTCCCTAGTCTTGAAATACCCCATCCTAGGGAAAAGACACATACCATTAACCTTATCTACATGATTTTATAAACTTTTATAAGGTCACCTCTCAAGAGTGTGATGGAAATTAGAAGCAAAATAGATAAACCTTTCCAATTTTAGACGAGAGAGGGAAGCAGTATCAATGATATCATCGATGTACTGGAGAAAGTTTTGGGGTGGAGGCCGGAGTAGGACTGGAACAAAAAATGTTCTCCACACAGAGATAAGCATAACTGGGGCCCATGCGGGTACCCATGGTCATATCCGATTGGGCAAAGCAAGAGGAGTTAAAAGAGAAGTGGTTCAAAGTGAGGATGAGTTTGGCCAAGCGGAGGAGAGTGACAATGGATGGGAATGGTTCAGGCCTTTTCCCCCAGGAGGATGTGGAGAGCCCTGAGACCATCTTGATGGGGGATAGACCTGTAAATTCTGGAAATTCTGAAACTGAAGTAAAGCATGCAGCAGAATTGCGAATGTAAGCGGGAAAGGACTGTACAAGGGGAGAAAAAAAATGCTGAGTCAAGGTAGGAAGAGATCAGCTCTGTGGGGTGGGAGCAGGCAGAAACAATGGGTCTGCCCGGGCAGTCATGTTTGTGGATTTTGGGAAGGATGTATGTTTGGGAGATTATGAGCTTCAAGACAGTAGAGTGGAGGTCACCATTGTGAATGCAATAGCTTGGTGTTCAATTCTGGGGTCATGATCCAGGGGGAGAACAGGAGAAGGTGTCTGAAAGCTGGCGCTCAGCTTCTGTAATGTAGAGGTCACTCTACCAGACAATAACAGCACCACTCTTGTTGGCAGGCTTGATGAAAAAGTCACGGTTGGACCTGACAGCAAACGTGCAGTCAGCTCAGAAGGAGGTAGGTTTGAATGGTTATGGGGCAGAGAAATTGAGCTGACCAATATCAGTCCTCAATGAACATACCTAGTGCAGGTAAAAGGTGAAATGGAGGGGTCCAGGTGGAGGGAGAGTGTTGGATGCAGGTGAAGGGATCTGTGGGATGGGGAGACAACTCTTGTCCAAAGGAATGGGCATGGAGATAAAGGCAGTGGAAGAAAAGTCCAACATCATGTTGTGTGCAGGGGAATAAAACTAAGACTTTTGCTGAGTACAGAACATTCAGAATCAATGAGGGGAAGGTCAGAAGGGATAGGAAATACATGGGGTTAGGAGATGGGATGGAATCAGAGGGGAGGGGAGGGGAGGAAGGTTCCGGACGGGAGGAAGGTTCCAGAGGGGTGTGGGTATCTCTAAGTTGTTGCATCTTACGTTCTTTAATGTCTGAAAGGAAAAGAAAGAAAAAAGTTTCTTGTTAGAATGTAGAATGAGTTGGAAGATGAAGTGGAGCTGGGAGGCAAGGCAGCTCTGAGCCAATGTGAGGTGGTACTGACAGAGAAAGTGTCCAGCATGTGCAGATGATGACACACGGCATCGAATGTGAATCTCAGGATGTGGCGAAAACAGCTCTCTGAGGAACGCTGAGCATCGCTGAGATACCCGTGATCCTGGGTGGATTCAAAACACGAAGGATGAAACTTCAGTTGGAATCCATGTGGGGTGGGTCTGAGCTAGAGCCAGTCACTGAGGAATGAGATGTGGCTGTGGAAGTCGAGTTTTGGCAAATACCTAGCCAAGTACCAGAAGCGACAGTGAAAGTAATGACAAAGAACAAGATTAGAACAGAAATCGTATCAGAGAGAGGAGCAGAACGTCTTCAAAATGGGTTTATCTGGAAGAGATGTGGCAGTAAGGTAAACACTTAACCAAAAAAAAAACAAAGAACTATGGATGCTCAAATCAGAAACGTAAACAGAAATTGCTTGAAAATCTCCACATCTGTGGAGATAAAGCAGAATAATTTAGCAATCAATTTGTTTGAGCAATGCTCAAGAAATTGCAATGAGATAGCTGAAGCAACACAGATTTTCCTGGTCTATAGTCCTCCATCACATGAAAGGGTAGGAGCTGAAAAGAAAATAACAATTTCAGAAGGTTAAGGGTGGTATATTGGAACCTTTCAAGGTATTAACGGGACAGACAGTTCCTCTCTGCTTAGTCTATTTCTGTTCCTTGAAAGAGTCCAGGACTAGGGGATACATAGAAGATAGACCAGATCTTTCAGTACAGAAATTAGGAAACATTTTGACACGCAAAGGATGGTAGGTATTTGGAGCTTTCTTTTGTAAAGGCAGCCAGTGCTAAAACATAAAAAAGTGCTGGAGAATTTCAGCTTTTTGGGCAACATCTGTGCAGAGAAAAACAGAGGGCAATTTTGCTTTTTTTTAAGCCTAAGTGATAGTTTTGTTGAATTTTTAGGGTTTTTTTTGCCACGAGGCCGAGCAAGATGTCTCACCTTATCTTACTGAACCCACTTCATTAACTACCTACCTGCCCCTCTCACCTGATTCTACCCCCATGCCAGACCTGGAAGAACTCACCAGTCGCTGAATCTCAAGGTCTTATATTGTTTCAAATGATGACTGCTCATTCTTCTGAGCTCCAACAATTACATTCCTAACCTGTTCAACCTCTCCTAATAAGATAAGCCCAGTTTTAAATATTTTCTAATCGACACAATTAGATGTCATTACACACCTCTGGAGCAGCTAGGATTTGAACCCAGTTTTAACTCTGTTTTCAATTTTGATCTGTAATATATAAACAGTGGGAAGGGCGGCACTGATTTCTTATGGCGCCAAGCAGCTGGGTTCGATTCCAGCCTTAGGTGACTGTGTGGAGTTTACACATTCTCCCCATGTCTGCATGGGTTTCCTCCAGGTGCTCAAGTTTCCTCCCACAGTCCAAAGATGTGCAGGTTGTGTGGATTGGTCATGGTAAAATACAGGATTACGGGGATAGTGGTTGTGGGTGGGTGAGTCTGGGTGGGATGCTCTTCAGAAGGTCAATGCAGACTCAATGGGCCATATAGCCTTTTTATGCACTGTAGGGATTCTATAATTCTATAAGGCAGGGAGGATTGGGATTCCTTAGAATGTCACATATTATAGGGTTTTTTTAACCCTGTTGTGAACACTGTAACTTTAACTAAACACTGAAGATTGCATCAAATTTATAGGCAGGCATATTCTTAGGATACAAGACTACTGCAACAGCTGAGTCAGTCTTATCCATATTTATGTGACAGGAAATATTCCAATGCTCCAAATACCGATATGTTAATGCAGGAATGTCAAAGCTCTCTCCACAGTTTCATCTTCACCTCCACCTCACAATAATTAGATTCTCATAATTTTAGATCATTCAAAAATAAGGATCATTTTATTAATGTTATGTTTTAAGTCCGCTACATCAAAATACATTTTAGCGTGAATATCTTACAAATAGTAAAGTCGTCATAATCCCAGAGGTTGGTGGTGGTTTAACGTGAGGGTCACCACACTGCAGGTGAGGGGAGAGGTTGAGAAGTAGTGACCTTAATCATAACCCTAGGCTGTATGGAAATTGAATTAACAATGTTGCCAACATTGCAAATCAGCTGTCCAAGCTAACCGATCTCGCTACTATACAGATAGGTGTTGGATTATAAACGTGTATTGGCGATGTGATAGTAAAGGAGACTAATTCAAACTAGCACCAAGTCACCAATTGACAGTTGACTGAAACACAGTGTGAGGGAAGCCATTCTTACAACCCTCTACTTTTTCAAGTCCCTGTGTCAGTCAGGAAGCAATGCAGCAATTGCATTTACAACATCAGGAAGTGGGTTAAGGAAACACAGGGCGATTGCCTCACAGGCTGAAAGATAATCTCTCTTTGAAGCAGTTTAATTTTAGGATTCTATGTTGTCATAGCACAGAATGGCAGGATATGTGTTGCTGATCACAGGCACAGTAGTAAGTAATTCAACATCTTCAGTCTGTTCAGCTAGATCGTAGACAATATGTACCTTATCTTTATTGCTTTACCTTCTTTTCGTAAACCTGAATAACCTTTCCCAACAAATGTCTATCAATTTTGGTTTTGACATTTTCACTTGAGACCTGCCAACCCTCCTCAACTCGCTTATTTTGGAGCAGAGAGAACTGTAGCTTGCAATTTAAAACAAAATCTCAAAGTCAACCAATGCACGTATTAAAGAGAACTCTCCACAGAGAGAAAGGGCTGACTCCCTAATTTCTAGCAGCTTTTTTAGGATGTATCACTAAAGTAACTGATAAAAGGATCTTTGGGGAGGGGGGAGAAATACTGTTCACCACGCACACACTCATTTGGAGAAAGGTGATTCCTTTATTCACTTATGGGATGTGGATGTCATAGGCTGGTCCAGCATTTATTGCCCATCCCTAATTGCCCTTGAGAAGTTGGTGATTAGCTGCATTTTGAACTGCTCGCAGTGCATCAGGGAGTAAGTATAGTGTGTGGACTGTAATGCATGTGACCACAAAGAAATTTTAAAAATGAAATAAAGAATAAAATCAGTTCAGAAAAGCAAAGTTCTGCAGATGCTGGAGATCTGAAACAAAAATAGAAGGCACTGAAGAAATTCAGCAGGTCTGGCAGTTTCTGTGGATAGAGAAAGACAGAGTTAATGTTTCAAGTCCAATGTGACTCTTTTTCAGAACAGAAAGTTAAAAATCCATCTGACAAAGAGTCACTGGGCTCAAAATGTTAAATCTGCTTTCTTCCCCACAGAGGGAGGCAATGGCCTTGTGGTATTATCGCTGCTCTGTTAACCCAGAGACCCAGATAGTTTTCTGGGGACCCAGGTTCGAATCCCGCCACAGCAGATGGTGGAATTTGAATTCAGTTAAAAAGTCTGGACTTAAGAATCTAATGATGACCGTGAAATCATTGTCGATTGTCAGGAAAAACCCATCTGGTTCACGAATGTCCTTGAGTGAAGGAAACTGTCATCCTTACCTGGGTTCAAATCCCACAACAGCTGATGGTGGAATTTGAATTCAACAAAAATCTGGAATTAAGAGACTAATGAATGACCAGAGGTTCATTGCTGATTGTCAGGGTGAAAAACCCATCTGGGTCACTAGTGTCCTTTAGGGAAGGAAACTGCTGTCCTTTCCTGGTCTGGCCTGCATGTGACTCCAGACCCACAGCAATGTGGTTGACTCTGAAGTTCCCTCTGGGCATTTAGGGATGGGCAATGAATGCTGCCTGGCCAGCGATGCCCTCATCCCATGAATGAATAAAAGGAAAAAAAGATACTGCCAGACCTATTAAATTTCATGGTTAATTTCTGTTTTTGTTAAAAATCTATCCCTTGGTAAACACTCAGTCGTACAGCATGGAAACAGACCCTTCAGTCCAACCAGTCCATGCCAAACATAATCCCAAACTAAACTAGTCCCACCTGCCTGCTCTGGCCCATATCTCTCCAAACCTCTACTATTCATGGACTTATCCAAATGTCTTTTAACGGTTGCAATTGTACCCACATCCACCGCTTCCTCAGGAAGTTCATTCCACATGCAAACCACCCTCTGTGTAAAACATTTGCCCTTCATATCTTTATTAAATCTCTCTCCTCTCACTGTAAAAATGTACCCCCAATTTCTTGAAATCCCCCATCCTCGGGAAAAAAGAACTACCATTACCTCCATCTATACCCTTCATCTTAAAATGAAAGTCACAGTTTAGGATTATTTGAGTTCCAGCAAACACTTTACATCAAATTTTGTTTGTAATATGTGCCACGAACGTGTGGTTTAGTTTTTTGACTCAAGGCATTTTCAGTCTTGGTAATATGCATCAAAAATCACTTGGAATTACAATTTAAGTTTCATCTACTGCGAGAAAATTGTGCTGACTCAAACAGCACCAATCTCCATTTTGACCATGTGGAAAACTTTTTAAGTAAGGTAACATGGTTAACTTTAAAAAGTTTGCTTTAGCTAATTAAATGGTTGAATTGGTGTGTGTTACACAAAATCATTTTTACAGCATAGCAAACAATTCTAAGAAAGCCCTGTAATTCAACCACTCTCCGAAATATAACTTTAAAATGTGCCATTGTAAACTAGCAGTGTAAGGAATGGCTGTGCATACCACAAGCATAACTAAGTGACCAGTGTTTATGTCCAATACTGTGAGGGAGAGTTGCAGTGTCAGAGAAACTGCATTTCAGGTTAAGATGCCAACTGAAATCTTGCCTATAAGCTGCTTGTCAAAAATGCTGGATATTGATTAAGAAAATGAAAGGTCAAAAACAGAAGTTGCTGGAAAAGCTCAACAGGTCTGGCAGCACCCGTAAAGAGAAATCAAAGTTAACGTTTCGGGTCATTCAAAACCTTCAGTACTGAGGAAGAGTCACTGGACCCAAAATGTTAACTCGGATTTCTCTCCACAGATGCTGCGAGACCTGTTGAGCTTTTCCAGCAACTTCTGTTTTTGTTTCTGATTTACAGCATCCACAGTTCTTTCGGTTTTTAAGAAAATGAAGGGAGCTGCTCCTTGTCAACATTCGTGCCCCAAATAAATGTGGATTATCCCAGAATCGCACAACGCAGGAGGTGGCTATTTGGCCCATCATTCTCTCGACAGTTCTTGCCCTTTAAGTTTCTCCTTTCTAAGTCAAAATCTGATTCTCTTTTTGAAAGAGTTACTATTGATTCTGCTACCACCAGTTTTCAGGTTGCCTGTTCCAGATCCCAATAGGCAACTGATAGCCATAATCTCATTTACTGTCTATTGAACCGTTCCTATGTTTGTAAATTTAGCAGTGACTGTAATGGAAATCTAAATCATTCTTTGAAGAAAATATAATACATAAACCAAGTTCTCCTTACCTGGTTGTCAATTGCAAATGTTTAGTAGGCTTTGTGCAAATTATCAAAGGCGAGAGATCGTTAGAAAATGTGCAGCCAGAGAATTTACTAAATACATCCAAATCCTCCCACTGTACTTTTTAAGAGTTTGTGGTTAAATGCCTCATTCCCACCACAGCTTTTTAATGTCTCATAAAAGGGCATCAACCTGAAAACTCCAACTTTGTTTCTCTCCCAAATGAGTTGAGCACAATGATTTGGTAGGCATTTCTGTGCGGTTTTGAGGGAGTGCCTTACTGTCAGAAATGCTGCTTTTTGTATGAGATGTGAAAGTGAAAGCCCATCAGCTCTATTAGGTAGGTGTAAAAGATCTTATTGCTTTACTTGGAAGAAACGCAGCAGAGCTGTCTCTGGTATCCTGGCCAGTAATTACCCAGTCAGTCATAGATTCATAGAATCCCTTTGGCCCATCAAGTCCACACCGACCCTCAGAGCATCCCACCCAGACCTATCCTCCTATAACCCACCTAATCTATACATCCCTGAACACTATGGGCAATTTAGCATGACCAATCCACCTAGCCTGCACAACTTTGGATTGTGGGAGGAAACCAGAGCACCCAGAGGAAACCCACGCAGACACAGGGAGAATGTGAAAACTCCACACAGACAGTCGCCTGAGGATGGAATCAAACCTGGGTCACTGGCACTGCGAGGCAGCACTGAGCCATCGTGCCACCCCCAATCAACATCAAACATGAAAAAAAGGCATAGATTTATAGAATCAGACAGTACAAAAAATGCTTTTCAGCCCATCAAGTCCATATCACCAAATATACTACTAATTACACTGTAGAATCATAGAATGCCTACAGTGTGGAAGCAGGCCATTCGGCCCAACAGGTCCACTGCATAAAACCATATGGACTATCCCTAATAATTCTATTCTCCAAATGCAAGTAAATCCTGTCCCTAAGAATCTTAAGTCCCACTTTCTCGAACAAGGCTCATAGCTTTGAACACTTAAGTGTTCATCCAAGTACTTTATTTAAGGCCATGATTTTCTGGTCATTATCACATTCCTGTTCTAAGAAGGGTCACTGGATGCAAAACGTTAACTCTGCTTTCTCTCCAGAGATCCTGCCAGGCCTGTCGTGTTTCTCCGGCAATTTCTGTTTTTGTTTCAGATTTACAGCATCATAGTTCTTTGTTTCATTTTATTTCACATTTCTTACCCTGGGATCTTGCTGTGTGCAAACTGACTGCTATGATTCCCAAAGCAGTGACTGCACATCAAAAGTACTTCATCAGCTGCAAAATGCTTTGAGAAGTCTTGGGAATGTGACAGGGGCTGTACAAATGCACATCTTTGTCCTTTCACAGATGCTGCCTGAACAGGTTATGACTCTTCCCACTAAGATGGGAGTGTTTCCAACCGTGCAGCCAATCTGAAATGTAGTGCACATTGAAATAAGCAGGCTGTTCATAAGATCCCCAGTTAGTCACCAGAATTTGCAGTATGGTGTGGTGTGCTGGCTTTTAAAAGCTGCCTGAGGGCATATCATAAATCTCAGCGGAGTTCACAGTCCGCCCAGTATTCCAAAAATTTATCAGAAACTTTAGACTGAGTGTTTTGATGATGCTCTGCTAATATCCAACAATTCCAACACTTTGCTTTTATTGTTCATCGATCTCAGCAAGTGCTCGGAAGAACAAAAGGATGTCTTTGGAAATGAACGGTTGGAAAAGCACTCTGACATGTAAGCAGCTTAATTATTTCTCGGTCCCCTTGTTCACACAAAGCATTCTGGCATGAATAGGTTGGAATCCATTCACATTGTTTGCCCGTCCTCATTCATCCCATCCTCAAAGCACTGTCATTCCAAGGGAGATACACATCAAGGTCACCTTCAGGCTTCAAAGGCGTCAATCCTCAATTCGTGGGAACTTTGCAACATCAATTGTTCTGTCTGCAAACATTGTGCATCAATAGGTGAAGGGAAACCCCCAACTCGTAGAAATCAGATCCATTCTACCTTGAAAGACCACCATCCTGAGCCTGGGGGTGGGGGTGGTGTGGGGAGGTGGTTGGGGAAGCAAACTGTTTTCACAAAGGGCTACAGAAAGCTAATATGATAATAACAGCAGGCAAATAGAATTTAGAGTATAAGTGTAGGGAAATACTGCTGCAACTATACAACTGCATGGACTACTGCATACAGTTTGGTCCCCTTACTAAAGGAGGGATATAGTTGCATTGGAGGCAGTTCAGAGCAGGTTCACTAGATCAATTTCAGAGAATGAGGGGTTTTTCTTATGAAGACAGATTGAGCAATTGACAGGAATGCAAGAGGCTGAGGGGCGACCTGATAGAAGTTTAAAAGATTATGAATGGCGCAGATAGGGTGGAAAGTACGAGGCTTTTTTCACAGGGTGTAGGGTGTCAATTACTAGAGGCACAGGTTCAAAGTATGGGGGCAAGTTTAAAAGAGATGTGAGAGGCAAGTTTTTCATACAAAGGGTGGTGAGTGCCTGGAATGTGCTGCCAAAGGAGGTGGTGGAAGTAGACACAATAAGAGCTTTCAAAAGGCACCTGGACAAATACATGAATAGGAAGGGAATAGAGGAATATGGATCCTTTAAATGAAGACAGTTTTAGTATGGAAGGGCAAAATATGTTGGTGCAGGCTCAGGGGGCCCGAAGGGCCTGTTCTTTTGCTGTATTATTCTTTGTTCAATTTAGGCCTATAATCTCTGGAATTTGGAAGAATGAGAGGAGATCTAATTGAGGTATTTAAGATGTTAAAGGAAATCGACAAATTAGATGTGGAGAGGATGTTTCTTCATGTGAGGCAATCTAGAATGAAAGGTCATAGTTTTAAGACAAGACGTAGAAGATTAAAACCGAGATGAAGAGGAATTATTTCTCTCAAAAGGGTTGTAAATCTGCTGAATTCACTAGCCCAGATTGCCATGGATGCCAGGATGCTCAGTAAGTTAAAAAGAGGAGATGGACAGGTTTTTAGTTAGTAATGGGTTGAAGGGTTAAGTTAAGTGGCCCTGAAAGTGAATTGAGGCTGAGATGAGATCAGCCATGATAGTAAATGGCAGAACACTCTTGAGGGGCTGAATTGCCTAGTCCTGCTCTGGGTTCTTATGTTCTTTTGTCACTGCCTGGCTGATGCAACTCATGTCAGTATAGCAAGGGTTAAGCTGCTGACTGGGGAAAACGACTGTGTAAATATAAAGGGTTTTGGGGTGCAGTGATTGAGTCCCTACCTCTCAGCCAAAAGGTGTGGGTTCAATGCTACTTCCAACAGAAGTGTGTCATTACATACTCATACTGGTATTTGAACAAAATACTTAAAAAGGGTACGTTGGGGCTATGGTATGAGCTGTTTAGTCAATAATCTCTATCCCAAAGATGGGATGTCTTTCAGTGCCAATTCACCAGCATGCTGAGAATCGACTTAACATTCCTACAGACAAGAATAGCGTCGGAGAACTGTACAGCGCAGAAACAGACCCTTCAGTCCAACTTGTCCATGCCAACCAGATATCCTAAATAATCTAGTCCCATTTGCCAGCATTTGGCCCATTTCCCTCTAAACCCTTCCTATTCATATACCCATCCAGATGCCTTTTAAATGTTTTAATTGTACCAGCCTCCACCACTCCCTCTGGCAGCTCATTCTATTCACGTTCCAGCATCTGCGTGAAAATATTGCCCATTAGGTGTCTTTTAAATCTTTCCCCTCTCACCTTAAACCAATGCCATCTAGTTTTGGAGAAAACACCTTGGCTGTTCACCCTATCCATGCTCCTCATGATTTTATGAACTACTTGGTTGATGCCACTGAATAACATCATCTTGGAGCATGCAAACCTCTTCTTTAAAAAGTAAACCCTACTCCTTCTGCCTGTTACCTATTCCCTTTCAGTATTTCAGATCTGGAAGCAGCTTCTCCCTTCACTACTCCCAAGTGAACTTTCATCTTCTTTGTTTGGTTGCAAGAATCCTGTATCCCACAGTGAAACCCTGGTCTAATATGATATGCTAGGAGGCACCTTCTGCTTTCCTTATGAGCATTTATATCTTTGCTAGGGACTGCACAGCATTTACTCTGCCACAGACTCCCACTGATGTGGCTTAGTTTGACCAAAGGACTCAACAATAGCATACCACCTAAGGCTGCTATGTGATTACATCTGATCATTTGGTCGATTCAAGATTCAATATGTGTATTAAGGTCAGAAGCACAATGTATGCTTGTAAAATTAGTCGGAGTCATACAGCATGGTAACAGGCCCTTTGGCCCAACTTGTCCATGCCTAAACTAGTCCCATTTTCCTGCATTTGGCCTATATCCCTCTAAACCTTTCCTATCGTGTACCTGTCCAAACGTCTTTTAAATGTTGTAATTTTACCCGCCTCTACCACTCTCTCTGGCAGCACATTCCATGTACGCCCCAACCTCTGTGTGAAAATGTTGCCCCTGAGGTCCCTTTTAAAGGTAGTTCAATCCCTGGGATCTGATGAGGTGTTTCCCAGAACTTTGAGAGAAGCTTGGGAAGAAATTGCCGGGCCCCTTGCTGAGATATTTGTTTTATCGGCAGTCACAGGTGAGGTGCTGGAAGCCTGGAGATTGGCTAAAGTGGTGCCATTGTTTAACCAAGGCTGTAAGGAAAAGCCGGGGAACTATAGGCCAGTGATCCTTACGTCAGTGATGGGTAAGTTGTTGGAGGAGAGTCTGCGGGACAGAATTTACATGCATTTGGAAAGGCAAGGAGTGATTAGGGATAGTCAACATGGCTTTGTGCGTGGGAAATCGTGTCTCACTAACTTTTTTGAAGAGGTGACAAAGTAGGTTGATGAAGGCAGTGTGGTAGATGTTATTGATATGAAGTTCAGCAAAGCATTCGACAAGGTTCCATATGGTAGACTGGTTAGTCAGGCTATATCACATGGGATCCAGGGATGGCTAGCCAATTGAATACAAAATTGGCTTGAAGGTAGGAAACAGAGTGTAGCGGTAGAGGGTTGTAGTTCAAACTGGAGACCTGTAACCAGCTTGTGCCACAAGGATCAGTGCTGGATTCACTGCTTTTTGTCATTTATATAAATGAGTGAGATGTGAATATAGGAGGCACGGTTAGTAACTTTGCAGATGACACCAAAATTGGTGCTGTAGTGAACAGTGAAGAAGATTATGTCAGAGTACAATGTGATCTTGATCAGATGTGCCAATTGGACAAGGAGTGGCAGGGGAAGTTTAATTTAGATAAATGTGAGGTGTTACATTTTGGTAAGGCAAATCAGGGCAGGACTTATACAGTTAATGATAGGGCCCTGGGAGTGTTGCTGAAAAAAGAGACCTCGGGGTGCAGCTGCATAGATCCCTGAAAGTGGAATCACAGGTAGATAGGGTAGTGAAGAAGGCATTTGGCACGCTTACCTTCATGAGTCAGAATATTGAGTATAGCAGTTGGGATGTCATGTTGTGGCTGTACAGATATTGGTGAAGTCACTTTCAGAATATTGCATACAATTCTGGTCGCTCTTCTATAAGAAGAATGTTGTTAGACTTAAGAGGGTGCAGGAAAGATTTATAAGAATGGTGCCGTGGTTGGAAGATTTGAATTATAGGGAGAGGCTGAATAAGCTGGGGCATTTTCCCTGGAGTGTTGGAGGCAGAGGGGTGACATTATAGATCTTAATAAAGTCAAGAGGAACATAGATAGGGTGAATAGCCAATGTCTTTTTTCATAGAATCCCTACAGTGTGGAAACAGGCCCTTCAGTCCAACGAGTCCACACAGACCCTCAGAGCATCCCACCCAGACTCACCCTCCTATAACCCACATAATCTACACATCCTTGAACAGGATGAATTTAGCATGGCCAATCCACCCTAACCTGCACATCTTTGCAATTTAGCATGGCCAATCCACCCTAACCTGCACATCTTTGCACTGTGAGAGGAAATCAGAGCACCCGGAGGAAACCCATGCAGACACGGGCAGAATGTGCAAACTCCACACAGACAGTCACCTGAGGGTGGAATCGAACCTGGATTCCTGGCGCTGTGAGGCAGCAGTGCCAACCACTAAGCCACCATGCCACCAGGGAGTCTAAAACTAGGGGGCATAGGTTTAAGGTGAGAGGGGAAAGACTTAGAAGGTACCTAAGGGGCAACTTTTTCACACAGAGGGTGGTGAGTGTATGGAATAAGCTACCAAAGGAAGTGATAGAGGCGGGTACAATTACAGCATTTAAAAGGCACCTGGATTGGTGTATGAATAGGAAGGTTTAAAGTAATATGGGCCAAATGTTGACAAATGGGACTAGAGTGATTTAGGTTATCAGTATGCACGAGTTTGATCAAAGGGTCTGTTTCCGTGTTGTAGGAGTGTATGACTCTGTACATCTTTCCACTGTTAAACCTATGCTCTTTAGTTTTGGACTCCCCTACCCAGGGGAAAAGGCCTTGACTATTCACCTTATCTATACCACTTGTGATTTTATAAAGCTCGGTAAGGTCATCTCCCAGCCCCTTGTGCTCAGGTAAAGAAGTCCCAGCCTTTCTGGCCTCTCCTTAACTCCTTCCAGTCTCAGTAAGATCCTTAGAAACACTTTTTGCATCCTTTCCAGTTTAATTGCAGCCTTCTCGTAACAGGGCAACCAGAATTGTATGCAGTACTTCAAATGTGGCTTTAACCAATGTCTTGTACAGTTGTAACATGACATTCCAACTCCTGTA